GTCGATCATTCGCTTGACTATGTGCAGCTCGGCTTGACCGTGGTCCGAGTTCGGCGCAACTTGGGGCCTACACGAACACAGCTGTTATGGCTTTGCCGATGCACGGGTTTGAAACGGTGCCACGATCATTGACGCAGGGGCGTGCTTGGACCACGGCTAACGGGAAAATATCGCGTTGACGGTAGGTCGGACGGACGCACGGGCGTTGAACAAGGCGCAGGGGCGCGCAGTTCGGTCGGACTCGGTTCACGGGCACGCACTCGGTGGCTCGGCTCCAACGATTGGACGAGAAGACGACACGTGTGCGGGATGATGGTACACGTTAAGGATACGTGCTTATGCACGTCGGTTGGATAATTCCGCTCGCTACGAGGCACACGGCCTCAAAAGCCTTCTTAGACTCGGTTATGGTCCCGTCGGCGACTAACCGGCCGACCGACCATGTCCCGACACCCAAGGACTAATTTTAATCTTATGACGTCTAAAGTTGTTTAAACGGTAGTAGAGTTCGGGCGATTAAACTCGGATACAAAATTTACCCGGTTAGAGGAACCAGATAAAACTAGGGTTATCGATCTCCGAAAATCCTAACTCATAAAGCCGATGTTTAAATCCTAAGTTCTATGTGATTTATAAGGATTTTACATCCAACGACTGCAGCTAAATCGCAACGGGACTAATTTCTAAAAATATCGTATGTTACGGCTAAAGTCCCGATTTATAATCTATATCAAACGACATCCAAAAATTATGAAATTTCAACCACAGCTTACAAAAACATTTATATGATTTATGGTAAAAATCTCACAGCCATATTCAGCTCCTAACTTAGTTAACAAAAATCGAGCACTATCGGTCCAAATTCGAAATTTCTGTTCGCATACTAAATTCAAAATTCACGAAAATTTGGCCTAAGCCCCAAGACATTAAAATAAAATTAATCCCGTTGGAATCATATTTTTTAGCTTAGCTCACAATATATTATTAATTGTTTGCCTTTTAATGCAATAAAATCATATAAATTCATATCTTGCTCTAAAGTTCCCAAAACTCATTTTTATAATTAACTAAAATTATTGTCTAATGCCATGCAGTTGAGTTTCAGCCATTATACCTCAGAATGGATTCAAAATAAAAATCAAAAGTGAGGCTGACTAGGTGACGCTCTTAGGTCTGTAGATCTGGGCTCTGGCCTGGCACGCGCGTGCACGGATGCGGGGCTTGGGAAGCACGCACAGTATGGACATCTGCTGGGGGCTGCACGTGGGTGGAGCGTGCGTACAGGCGCCGGCATACGGAAGCTGGGCGCTGGTTGCGAGGGGACGCGCGGACCTGGTCTGGGAGCGGGCCTGGCGAGCTGGAGTGGGCCTGGGCGCGACAGGCTGAGCTAAGACGGGACTGGGCGTGCTATAGTAGGGCTGGACGGCGTGGGCTCGGCTGCCGGCGTCGAACCAGAAAACGTGAAAGTGGCCGGATTTTGCTCGGTTTTGAGTTGCTAAGGCCTAAAAATGATATTTTTGGCTATGGAAATGGGATGTTTTTGCTAGGAGATGATGAAAATGCTCTTAAATGAAGATGTTAAAGATGAATGTGGAATGTTGGGCTAGGGTTTGGATGAAGGTGATGAAATGAGGGAGATGGTTTATGTATATATAGGAGATAGAGCTAGGGTTTATGCTCATCTTGGGCTTTGACTTGGGTTTTAAAATCGGCCTATTTAATCGACTTGAATATAAATTGCTACTTGCGCTCGTTTATTTAAAATACTACTAGGGCTCGATAAATAAAATGCTAACCAGGTCTATTAGTAAATGTTCGTCTAGAATTAAATAATTGGGCTCGAATTTATTGGGTTTGATGATATGCACTCGAATTAGTAATATCGTTCGAAATATAAAATGACAGCTCAATTAAATGGGCATACTTAGGCCGAAATAAAATGGCTCAATTATAATGATTGGGTCGAGGCTCCGCTCGTCCGGGCTTCGACCGACTTAATAAAATTTCGATTATTTCAAGGCTCGTTTTACCTTAAAAATAAAACCGATACTTGGGCTAAATAAATTCGATTTTAATATTAAAGATTGAATAAATTCTTCATGGCTTAGACTTAATACTAATTACTCGATTTAATGCAAATAATATTAATTAAATGCATCAAATAAGGAAACTGGCTATTTATGGAAATAAAGTCGAGCTCCATATATAGTAAGAATATTCAGGGCGTTACAAGCTAGAGGGTCCAAACTCTGAGAGCTCCGTACTACCCTTATACCAGATCCAGGATCGCACAGCGCAAGGCCTATCAAACGTTACCCCACTTAGTGGCACCTCCAACAGTTGATATGTCAGTCACCTCCCTAACTTGGAACTCCCGTGGTCTGGCGAATAGTGCCACCTAGCTCATATTCTCTCTTTTGTTCGTGATCATAGGCTCGACTTCAATTGTTCTCGAGCCCATGACCCGCACCTTTACTTTTAACTTCTACTTACGCCGTCTTGGTTTCCACTCTGGCGTGGGAATTATCTCTAATTAGATTCATTTTTTCACTCACTTGACTACACTTGTTAGGCCATCTGTGATACCGTGCAGGTGTCGCATGTCGAGCTTTCTGCGACCCATCTCACTGAGCCCATCTTCCACACTCTGGTTTATGCCAGTTGTGGGATGGTTGAGCGCTACAGTCTGTGGGACACCATGCATTACATTGCTGAGAATATGGAGGGATTATCATGGATGGTAAGCGGTGATTTCAACATCTTTCTGCATTCTGATGAGAGCGTTGGTGGCCAATCGGACCGCTCAATGAAGATCTAAGATTTCTTTCAAGTCGTGGCAGACTGAGTTAATTGATGCTGGTTACGAAGGTTCCCCCTTCACTTGGGAGTGGGAAAGAGTCAAGGAGAGGCTCGACCGTGCTTGGTCTCTGAGGCATGGGTGTTTGTGGTTACAACCGTCACACACCTTCCTCGAATTGAGTCTGATCATGCTCTCCTCCTTATCCGGTATTGATTCTCGAGCATCCCCCGTCAGTCTTTTTTTTTTGCTCCAAAACATGTGATTTCCCACCATACTTTCCATGACACTATTAGGGACTCCTGGCTGCAACCGACTTGGCTCTTCGGGATGCGCAACCTGGAGGCCAAGCTCGGGAGACTGCGACGCAGGCTGAAGCAGTAGAATTGGGATGTTTCTGCAGACCTTTCTCAGCGCCTCTCTGCAGCTCAAAGTGCGTATGCTGACACTGAGCGAGCTTATGATCTGGACTCCTCTCCGTAGAATAAGACTGCGATGCGCCGCTTTCACGCTGAGTAACAACTCCGACTTCTTATGGAGGAGGATTTGTGGAAGCAGAATGCTGCCATTCGCTAGGTTGCTGAGGGGGAGCTTATAACCAAGTACTTTCAGGGGTTTGTGAGGCAGAAGCATGTCAAGTCGTATATCCATAGTATCGAGGACAACGGGTCTACTGTGACTCAGGAGTCCCAGATTCGGGAGTCAGCTGTGGCGCACTTTCAGTCTCTCTTCACCTCAGACAAGGACTTGCATAACGCTTCTTTCTTCCCCACCATTTCTCATTCGGTCGACCTTTTTGGCCTTTGAGAGCTCCCGAGCAGAGAGGAGGTTAGGGAGGTTGTTTTTGGGACGATCCCAACAGCGTCTCTGGCCCGAATGGCTTTTTGTCTCTCTTCTACGAAGCTTGCTGGGAGCTTGTTGGGACTGATGTTGAGGAAGCTGTGGTGAATTTCTTCTCTGGTCACTAGATACCGGAGTCCTTCACGGCTACATCTGTCGTCTTCATTCCCAAAAGACCTTGCCCGAGCTCTTGGTCAGATTATAGGCATATCAGCCTCCGTAATGTGACCAACAATGTAGCGCCCCGTTCGTTTATTAGAATTTCTGAATATTATATTATTATTTAATTGCTTTTATTTCATTTATTCCTTTGTTTATATTTTTGCCCGACTATTGTTATTAACTGCTCGTCTTTGCTTGTATTAAATGTCTGCCTATTATTGAATTTCTTAGTGACTTTATGTCTGTGATTATTATATGTTTATTTATTATTTATATGTATTAGAATTATGAGATATATTTGATGTAAATTTTGAATTGTTTCGGCGAGTTTTGGTTAATCGCGTAAACCGATTTTTAATTTGTTTCGATCCGTTTTTGAGCCATTTTGACCCGAACCTTGAAATTATTCTTACAACCTAAGTAAATGCTAAAATCGATCCATTTTAGCTCACCAAACCGAGTTGTTTGTGCTTGAGAGGAATCGGCCCTTCTAGAGTTGTTTCCTCAGCCCATTTAAGTTTATTTATTCCAAATTTCCTTTAGGCCCAAGTGGCAAGTGAATCCTTTTTAAATCAGCGGCATCAGGATAGAAGGAAGAAACCTATCCTCTTTTCCAAAATTCAGCCGCAATCGTATCTAGGGGTGTTCACGGTCCGGATTGGTCCGGTTTTAGCCCAAACCGTGACCAAACCAGACCTAACGGTTGATTTTTTTTCTTGTCCATAACCGGACCGGTATTATTTTTTAACCGACCACAATCCGGACCGCATTGGACGGTCCGGTTTGACGGTTAACCGGTTAAATCCAATAGTCAATGATCAATGGAGAATCTGGAAATTCAATACACACTTTTTTTTTTTTTATCAAACGATTGTAATTGCATTAACAAACTAATATGTAAGGAATTCATGGGTCGGCAGGGGATAAATAAGAATTAAAAAATATATATATATAAAAACAAAATAAAAAAATAATAACTGTTATTGAGTATAAAAATGGAAATCAATATTCAAGTTTTACTTAATAATAAAATATTAAATTAGTGTAACAACTATTTTAAAGAGGTGGGAACGGTTAAGAAATCAGTTAAATATTTTTTTGCCATGTGTAAAAAGGCGTAGTAGTGTAAACCAAAAGTCTAGTTTTGGCTAAATAATATATTGGTTGATTAATGTAAATAGTTTTTTATATTAAATAAGGGATGTCCTTATTTCCAAGTTCTTGGAGCCCAATATTAAGTTGGCCTAATTGTACCGTCTCCATATATATGTGTGTGTGTGTGTGTGTGTATATATATTTTTTTATAATTTTTTAATATATACCGGTCCGGTCCGGTTAAACTGGCGGTTTGCCGCAGTTAATCCGTTAACCGGACCGGTGATTCCGGATTTTTAAAAAAATTAACCACCGGATTTTTTAATGCTTTTTTAACTGACCATTTAACCGATCCGCGGTCCGGATTGACGGTTTTTTCCGGTTAAAACCGGACCGTGAACACCCCTATTCGTATCCCTTCTTTCTCGCACAACGCCCATCGGCCCTCTCTTCGCACAAGATTCGAGCAGCCGCCAAGATATCACCCTCCTCCCCCAGGCTTCGGCCGTCGCGAGTCGAATCCCGGCAATCGCGCGCATTCACCTTTGAAGGACGGGCGACCAGCGAACCCTTCCCTTCTCGACGGCGTTAATTGCAATCACCGCCGCGAGCCATAGCACCACCGTGATCTCCGGCCAGCCGTCACTGCGAGAAGTACCTGCTCATTGAACTCCGCTAGCCGTCGCCGAGAAATTCTTTCTCGAGCACCCCAACACCTCTGTCAGCCCCGTTGCGAGCTTCTCTTCTCGCCGGCGTCTCACAACAACTTTCACACGGACGTGAAGAGACCACCAGCGACTGCCCTTGTTTCAAATAGAACCCCGCCCCCGAGGGCCGACCGAGCCACCGCAAGTCTCAGTCGAGCCCCGTCGAGGAAAGTTGCGACCCGTCCGCAACCTCGTCAGCGAGAACGCACGGGAAACCGCTGCAGCATCCTCCGGCCACCGCTACAGCGCCTCGCCGGTTCTGAGCAGCAACCGAGCAGTCGAGGAGACTCGAGCAGTCCAGGCCGTGAGCAGCAGGCCACCGGGTTGCAGAAATTCGAGTTGTTGCCCCAAGACGAGAGAACCGGGTCCGACAGCCTTAGACCCAAGCTCTTTGTTCCGTTTTATTTAGCAACAAAGGAGGTAAAAAAAAAAAATTAGCAGAGACCTCTTCATGTTATGGCCGAGTTTAGTAAATTATTTTTTTAAAAGTCTGTGATTTGTTAAAATTGAAGAATTTTTAGTGGCCTATATGTTATGTTTTTGCCGTGAGTCTTGCCTTGTTGCCACGCCAATTTTTGCTGAGTTCCTTTTTATGAAAAGCATGATCTTACTGAGCCTTAGAGTCGGGTTTTATTTTCAGTTTTAAGGCCTTTATAAATAATAATTAAGCATGTTAGGATATTGTAATTTCTGTAGTAAATTTCTTATTGCACCACTAAATTATGGGTCTGNTTTTTTTTGACATGTTCTATTATGTGATGAACTGTGAAATGGGTTTTGATGCTTGAAGATCAAGTACTAGAAAAGTTTTATTATGGAACTTGGTAGAATATTAAAATTCTGTTTTTGACAATTTAGAACATTTTATCTTTATCAGATGAATTAAAAGATATGTTACATAAGGATATTTAGTAACTAAAGTTGCAGCTATCATTTTCAATTACTTTGCAAACGTGGGTGGTTACAGGCTTGTCCTAATAGAATATGATGGATAACAAACTATGATGCTATTAGTATCTGATTTAAGGAGTACCGAAATGGAGATTGGTGCTCATTTTTCATTGGCTGATGATTGAGCTTAGGCCTTTTCTGTTGTCTGCCACTCGTACTCATTATGAAGATAATTTTGTTTATCTGCTCCTTGAAATTGACCATGATTACATTCCTGCTACCAAACCATAACAAAAAGATGAGAAGCAGGCTTAATTTTAATCAATTTTAAGGAGATGTTTAAGCATCTTGTTATGGCCTTGTTTGTCTCATTTGCTTTATGTGTTTAATTTTCCTTGTTTGTCTTTGCTTGTTTGCCTGTTTGCCCTTAGTAATAAGATAAATATTTTAATTGTAGATTAAGAGGAGTCGAGTCCTTGCCCTTGTTTGAGCGTGCATTCACCTTCGTCCTCTTCAGTATCAGGTGGGTTTTTATTCAAGGATTGTCTATGCTGTAAATATTATTACTGTTTTAAATTTGGTATGATCAAGTATGCATGTGGAATATGTAGCCTTCGATGTGAGCTGTATCGGCCGTCGAACGGTTATCCCCGTAGCTATAGAACGTACCCGTTGGGTAGTCTCCTTTTTGAGCCGTAAGACCTGGGTTAAAGGTCCCTGTGCTGGACACATTTTGAGCCGTAAGACCCACGTTAAAGATCCCTGTGCAGACCCCCGTTGGTAAGACCAAGGTGAGGCCTTGGCTGGCGGGTTACTCCTACTGGCTGGACACGCGATGTAAGACCGGTGGGCTTTCGATATATAGTCGGCAGTAGTCTATACGTAGGTGTGCACATGAGTCTATTATTGATATGATTGGTGGGAGATTGGGATAGATGATTGTTTCATATAAGTGCTACGACCATACCTGACTTATTATTGATTATCGATTATCGTTTCTTTATTATGAATAATGTTTACTGCATAGTGGTGAGCACTACTTTTTCTAATTGTGCTTATCCCCACCTGAAATTCACGTTTCAGGTTAAGCGAGGCAGGTGCGACGGCGGAGTTAAGCGAGTGGTGGTCGGTCTATAAGACTGGTCTTATTATTGTTTATGCTTCCACATTTATGAATTTGAAATAATATTGCTTTTATGAATTCCGGATTTTATGATTGAATAATGATAAGAAGATGCTCCTTAGAACTTATGAATATTATTGAAACCCGGTTTGGGTAATATCTTATGCTTTTGGAAAAAACCCGTTTGGGGAGTTAGTAATTATTGATGATTGATGATTGATGATTGATGATTGATAGTGATGACTGATTAAGTATTGAAAAATTGGATAAGTATTGGAGTTTGTTTAAAAAAAAAAAAATGAGTAGCGCCTCAAGTATTTGAAATAAATTTGAAAAAATTATCTGATTTTTGGCAAATAAAAAGTGGGGTGTTACAAACAAGCTCATCTTTAAAATTCTTAACGGACGCCTTGCCTCTCTCCTTCCTTCTGTCATCTTTCCGAACTAGAGTGGTTTCATTAAGGATTGAGTCATTAGTGATAACATTATTTTAGCCCAAGAGATGATCCACGGCATTTCTTATGTGAATCGGTTGCGAGTCCCGAACCTAGTGCTGAAGCTAGACATGGCCAAAACATATGATTGGGTCGAGTGGCCTTTTCTTAGGGAGTTGCTAATCTGGATGCGTTTTCTTGAGCGGCGGGTCAATTTTGTGGAGGCGTGTTTGGAGAAATGCATGTTCTCGATTATGGTCAACGGCAACCCCACCAATTTCTTTCCTTCTTCTCGGGGCCTCCGGCAGGGAGATCTCCACTCGCCCTCGTTTTTTGTTATGGCAGCAGACTACCTTTCTCGCTGCCTTGACGCCTTCATCCGTGATAACCTGAGGGTGACCTACAACACAAGTAGCTATGGTCCTCCCATGTCAAACTTCTCTTATGCGGATCACATCATTATCTTCAATCGTATAATGATGGACTGGCCAAGCTTATGCACCTTCTGGAGCACTATGGCTCAGTCACCGGTCAGCTAAAAAGCCGATACTGATAAGATTGAAAAGCCGTTCAAAAAATCGATTGTTTGTGGGATACTCCATAATAATGAAAAGGTGGTATATTTTATAGTACTAAGAATGAAAAGGTGATCATTAAAACAAATGCCTGATTTTTGGAGGAATACTGAGTGATAAACCACACGTCCATTTGTAGAGCTAGCATGAGAAATGATAAAGGTGAACGTTCAAACTTCGTTACCACGTGTATAAAACGTTATACTACAATAAAATTGCAAACACGCGTCTCTCGTAGTTCATCTTTGCCGGAGGTACTTCATCGTAGTGGGAGGATTGCTAGGCAACCACATGAGCTCGTATTGATGATAGAGTCTTAGATTCAGTCTTTGGTATACAAGAAACTATGAATTCATGTTCTTGAGAAAAGTCTTTGGACTTAGTCTCTAGTGACTATGAAATATATCACTGGTTATACGATGAGGTACTCGTTGTAGTGGGAGCATTGCAAAGCAATTGACTAAATTCATGGTTAATGAAAGAGTCTTGGACTCAGTCTCTACTGAACATGAAGTCATGAATTCATGTTCTTGAGAGAAGTCTTTAGACTTAGTCTCTAGTGAATGTGAAATAAATCCCTGTTTATACAATAAGAATCTTCGAGACAGTAGATGCAGAAACTTAGCAAACAACAATGATTTCTGATTTTGGGTCGTGGAATCTAATCAAAAAAGCCAAAGAAAGCTCGTGATCTAGATATTGTTGAAGGGATCTATTCTGTTGAGAGGACCAGGTTGGTCAGAGAGAGGAACGGGAGGCTCAGAGTTAAAGGTAAGATCAAACATTTTATTTGGAAATGTTTTTCTGGCTTTTTACTTGTCAATGTGAATGTTAGGAGGGGAATTGTAGTAGATGTTATCTACAAATGTTGTGGTAAGGAGGAGGAGACTATTGAACATGTTTTCTTCAAGTATGATAGCCAAAAGGGTGTGCAAGCATGTACCGAGGGCTGGCATTTTTGTACCGAAAACCGAACCGAACCGAACCGAACCGACGAGAAAATAAACCGAACCGTACGGAATCGCTTGTAATCGGTTACTGAATCACTATCGGTTCGGTATTGGTTTTGAATCCATAAGGGTTCGGTAAAACCGAACCGAACCGATAAGGATTAAAAGAAAAAAAAAATATCAGAATAAGTGAAAATATTGTGCATCTCATTGTAGTTGCAGGATTGGGGAATTATTTACCAAAGTGAATGTCCACGATTTTTTGCTGAAGCTAAAGTTACCAAAATATCAAACACTACCTTTGGCCATTCTTACATAAATGAATATGTAATTAACAGGGGTGTGGTTGGATTTGTTAGAAAAGGTCTGCTTTAATGGTGTTGCTTGAAACCTTACGAGTATGATGCCAAATTCAAGGGCATTGCTTGAAAAATTGGTGTAATCAGACAAATTATGCAAGTTTGAGATGATGCTTTCTACACCCCCCGCCCCCCCTTGCCCCCTCATCCTCACTCTGCTGTTAAATTTCTATGGTTTAGACTATTCGTGCTGTGTAATTTATTCTACAGATATAGGTTTATTACTATCACTGATATGAATATCAACTCAATTCTTTCTAAAATCAACATCACACCGTCACCGAACTCAATTCATTTACAAACAACGAAAAGAAAAGATTCAATTCATTTGCTTGGCATTTTAGCAATTGCAAACCTGTTAGCAGGGTTCGGCTTTCGGTTTGTTATCGGTAAAAAACCGAAACCGAACAGTTATTCGGTAACCGAAAATCGGTTACCAGCTTCTAATTGGTTCGATTTCAGTTTGCATTTTAGTGTTACCGAACATATCGGTTCGGTATCGGCTTTCTCTTATCGGTTCGGTTACCGAACCGATACCAGCCCTGCATGTACCTGTTTGTTGGGATGACATCAAATCAGACTCTTGCAGGTTTGAAGAATGGTGGGGTATGATTTGCTCTATCGACCGTTCTGATGCTTCTTAGGCCATAATTGAACCAACGTATTTACTTTGGTGGCTTTGAAAATCTCGAAACATGTGGTTGTTTGAAGATGTTTAGAGACCGAAGCAGTGTATTGTGAAGGCTACTGTTGGTGAGTGGCTGGAAGCTGCTGGGGTTGGAGCCAAGTCCAGAAGATCAAGATATGAAGACTTAGTGAGGTCTGTTTTTATCAGTTCAGTGACTAGGTTTTTATGTTTTTGGTTTGGTGAATCTTTATTTTAGTTGGTCTGGTGTTGTCTAGCCAGAGTTTACAGTTTGTTTTCCGACTCTGATTAGGTTTGGTTTGGCTTGTCATTTAGGCTACAATAGTGTGTTGTAGTGCCCTCTAGTTTGTGACTTCGACTTTCGGGCTTTTGCCGGGTGTTTTCGAATTTTGTTCTTGTTGTNCATGCAACCAAATTGGGACATAGTGATAGTATACGCAGCAAGTTGCGACCAAACCATACAATTTCAATTCAAAAAAATTAACAATCTATACAACATATGATTACATTATACGAATAGAGCAACCTCACAATCACAATTAGCATACTTGACTCACCCAAACAAGAACAGTCAACAAATCAAATAAAAATGATCAGTACAGATCGTGCTTGTGATATACGCGTAACTATATAAAGCTCCAAAGGCAAATCAATGATCCAGCAGCCAAGGCAAAGGCTGGCATTTTACCATCTCCACATGCTTCCTCCCCAACTATCAACATCCAGTCATAGTACAATCACCAATGCTCTACAAAGTGTGTCAACTCACACTCACGTATTCTTCGGCAAGCCATAGGCTTTCTTCAGAAACTGTGATGCAGTCTTGTCATTGCGGTTACATAGAACACGCAGGATCGTGTTCGGGTCCGCGGGACCCCACTGCCCCGTCGTCGGTGGCAACGGCAGCCTCGTGTTGTTGCCAGCACCAGTCATCATCATCTGTTTCAACTGCTCTACCAGCCTATCCGTACCAGTTTGCAGAAGGGAAATAACTCCGAACACTGTCGGAGACAACTTTTCAATTATGTCGACCGGAAGGCCATCCCCATTCGACCAGAAAAGACTCGACAGCAACTTGAAATCCTCCTCAATCACTGCTGCATCCTGCGTGGAGAAAGCACGAGCAGGCCCACCAGCAAGCAGCACTAGCATGAAACCCTCAAACGAAGCTTTCATGATGTCAGTGATGACGCGCGTTCTGACTCTGTCGTGAACCATAACCGATACCACTTCTAGTTTCCTCTCCAGCTCATCCAGGAAAGGCTCGATTCTCTGTGAGGAAGAAATCCCACCTACGTAGAGATGGTCGCCGAGGACGTGCCTCAGGTCGTGGAACACGGCTCTGTACGCAGTTGCCTCCGACAGCTGGCGGACGCCTTCCAGGGACAAAGCTACGGAGAGACCTAATATTTTGTTTGCGGACTTTTCGTCATCGGCATATCCACTCTTTTTGAGATTGGAGATTGTCTTTTTTTCAATGGCCTCCGTCTCTTTGCGGATGTTGTATAAAGTGTTGATGCGGAGGCAGAGTCGTGGTAGGGACAAGGGGTCGTCCCCGTTTCTGATAGCGGATAGGGATTTGTTCCTGCTCGGGCTAGTGAGTAAACGGTCTTTCCGCTTAAAGGCGCTCAACTTTGAACCAACGGTACATCTGGTGAGAGGGGGCAGTGCCGGAATATATGCGACTCGTGATCCTACACAAAAACAGCCCATCATCAGTACTGTAAGAAAAAAAAAAATGAAAAAGAAAATCATAGGTTGAGAGTTAATTTGTACCACAGCCAGAAATCGCCTTTGTGATATAGTTCTTGAGGCATGTGTCTAGACCACCCATCAGTTCTGGAAGCAAAACTGGATGCATTGGTATGGGCAACAGAAAGAATGCTTCCAAAGTCTCGTTTAAGATGCGTAGAACTTCCACAGCTGAGGCTGCAAAACGTCCTTTGTTAACTTCAGGGTTCCAATCCTGAGGCAAAGAAGTCGAACATGTTATACAGAAACCTTCTATCTTTGTCCCTGTCATGTGGAACAATCTAGATTTGGAAGCAGATCAATTGATAACCAGCATTTTTCTTAAATTTGATTATTATTATTCTTGCTGAATCCTGCAAAGTGTGCTTCATTGGAGAAGAGCTATAACAACATTTGAACTTTCTAACCACAGCATAAGAGAGCAACAATGATAGGAACAGTATTACTCCAGGACTGAATGTAGCAGGCTGACAACATATTCTATTCTTTTGCATCTCTGTCCAGGAGCAGTTCACAAGCACATTAAACACATTTTACATTGACATTTGAGGATTCACAGCAGAAAAAAGGTACTGTACACATTCCACTCACAACACATTCTGCGTATGTCACAAGCACACCACATATTTCATACATCCACACTACATAGATGTCTTTTACACACACTAGATATACAAATGTTATACGTTCAGAAATCTATATTTTCTCTTATTTTTTACATGAACAATTGAGAAAAATATTAAACTTATAGTAGAAGTAATTTTTTTTTTAAACAAATAAACACTACATCCAACACGAATTTGAAATTAATGCGATGGAACTCAAATCCAAGTATGTCAAATTTCTCAATCCAACCACCACCTAATACTTCATTTGGATTGAAGGATTTGAAATTGTAAGAGATTTCAAATGCATAGCTTTCNTTTTTTATTTATTATTTTTTTTTAAAAAAAAATCTTGCTCATTCCTTATTTGGCTTTGGATGGATATGTGGAAAGGATTACAAATCCATTTTTTCTCATGTCGACAGTGTTCTCTCACGGTGGTAATAGATATAGACAGGGTTGGCTCACGGAAGGCGTGTTTCTCACGGAGATGGGGTGAAGAGTAGACTTTCAACAACAAAATTTGAGTCATTTGAAATCCCTCAAAATAATATGAAATCCATTGAGCTTCTAGTATTAAAATCCACAATCCAAATACACACTAAAGAAATTGTTCTCTATTACTATATGGTATCACCCACTTCAAATTCCTCCATTCAAAAATGAATAAAAAATTAATTCTTTTTCAAATTTAATATGAGTGATCTCATGAATAGCTCTAAACTAACTGCAAGTATAAGCATCTAAACGACTATTTTCCTATGACTTGGAAGATGTTTGATACAAAAGAAAAATAGAACTTAGTGTGTTCCATACCTCATTGCTGTGTTTGTGTTATTCCCACCTTTTTTTTTTTTTTTTATTGCAAATGAACATCTCTGTGACATGCAACACGTTCAGGTACATGAATCAATGGAAGACCAGATTAATCCGACAGAGATATATCTAAATGAGATATCATATAGTCAACATTGTATGTTCCCGGTTTGGTATGGATTTCATGGTCAATAATAAATCCTGACATCATATTAATTAAACAGGCTAAAATAAGATAAACAAAGGAGAACCAAAAGTACCTACCTCTTGTTGCAAACTTCTGTTAACCCAATCCTCAAGTCTATCAACCCTTGTCTGTATCCATGATTTCACAAAGTTTCTTATAACAGTCTGAGCTTCATAAGGAATCATCTCCTGAATTGTTGCCTTTCCACCATCTTCACTGTCCAGTGAATCTGCAACTGCCATTTCTACAAGATCTTTTTCAAGTTTTTCGGCAGCTAACAGCACTTGTATAGCCTCGGGATTTAGTTCACTCACACCCGACACAAATTGCTTAAGCTCTTCTGCAAAGCAAGCATGAAGAGTAGCAACAGCTATGGCTGTGGCAAGAGGGTTCCAAATTTTCAGTACAGGGCTATATATTTCCTTCTCATTGAATACGAGATCACAAATATTCTGGGCAAGGATGGAAAGGAGAGGGAGAGAGCTCTGCCGATTCTTAGAAAACTTCTTTTTGGAGAAGAGCTTCTCTCTTTCCTGTCTTCATATGAATTAAACAGGAGCCTCAGTGAAAATTACAAGAATAAAGATACAATACAACAAAGATAAAATGACACATACTAGGCCCAATTGTCCAGTGACATGCCACCCAAGTTCAAAATGTCATTGTCTACCAAATTACTATGTTCAGTATAATTTCTAACCAGAGGAGATCAATTTCTCCACTAATCTTTCACCCAGGATTCAAATCTCACATTCCTACCAACAGTGATTGCTTTCCCTTGGGAATCAGAACTAAAAATTTTCAAACACACTCTACACTATTATCCATCTACATATAGGATGACTCATTATTTAAATTTTTTATTTTTTTTTTGTCAACCAGAGAATATAGATTAGTATAACAATTACATTACATTAATGTAAAATTTACATTGATGATTAAAATCTCAGTACGGTTAGCATCAATATCTCTCTAATAATGAGAATAAAATTGAAGAAAATAATACCTAATATAATAAATGGATTCTTCAAAATAGATTGGAATAACCAACTCTGGTATTTGAAATTACGTTATCACATAACATAAACCTGGAAACTTTAATTACAAAACTATTAACATTAAAGTTGTCCGAATTAATTAAAAAGATAAGAGATGGATAATCTTACATGTTATTCACATGTATGCCAAGGGAAACATCACTTCCCATCAATCATACTGACAATAACCAATTTTTAAAATGTAGATATACTTTATTTGTAGTTGTTACCTTCAATGAGTAGACTGTATATGCACATTACATCTTACTTTTTCATTATTCCCCTACCAATAGTTCGCATGTGTCTAAAACACCATAGTGAACATTTTACCATTAACCACTGAATATTCAACAAGTCATTTGGCAACTTAGAGTCCATTACCTAACCAAAAGAAAGCATAGCCTATGGAGCTGTCCGTTCAGCTTCCACGGTGTATGGAAATCCGATAAAAGAAGGGTTAGGAATAATGTTAACTCAGCAACTACACAGAAAATGGATAAAAATCACAACAATTCAAAGCAAGATAGATGCTTGACTTCGACCAAGTGAAACAATTGAGGTACAGTAAGGAGCTAAGGAAGATCAATAATCCTTCAAGTAAAAATAGGTCTTGAACATCTGTTATCACCATAACAAATAATTAAAAAAAAAAAAAAAAAAAAAAAAAGAAAAAAGAAGAAGAAGAAAGAGTATTGTGCTCGCCTGAGAAAACGCTCTGCGAATTGATGACCTGATATATGATTCAACCCTGTCATAGGCCACACTGACTTCTTCACTACTGTTCTTACCATATTTGTGGGACATGTCCAGTATTTTGGCTGCTGATACCGCAAGTGACAAAACACTTTTCATAACACTGATGTTATCCCTATAAAAGATATCATGGTACCTTTGAAGCTTTCCTTCGGCCCAATCTAACATCACATGCAAAATAGAAGCTAATATCTTCGAGTACTCTACATCACGAGTTGAGCTTGCATCCTTTTCAACTTCCACCATCATATGATCAGCAGCAACAAGAAGGTCACCTTCAATTTCACCAGTAGTAATGTACTTGTGGAACAAAACCCACAGAAAACAAAGATTATGGAACACCTGGTCTATTCCAAAGACTCCCCAAGTCTTCTTTATTTGATCTAATACCTCATCTACTTCTTCAATAATTGACGTTTCATCATTTACATCAAAGCAAGCTTCTAAAAGTATCCTATAAAGATGGAGATTTAGAGGAACCCCATCCGCCCAGTGGCACATATCAGCAACAAAACCATCAAATGACCTGTACGTAATAGAAGTTACAAGATTGCGGAGAACATTCATTGATTCACTGTGCTTTCCTGTGTCAAAGGGTTTCTCTGAAGCGGTGTATAAGAGCTGTCGAAGGCGTTCAGGTGCCGTGTCTGACTTATCAGGTGGCAGGTACGGGTGAACAAGAAGCCCAGCTTCAAGGACCTTCAAGTTTCTTTTCTGCCATGCCTCATATTCTTTCTGATTATTAAAATCTGAAGACCTCAACTGTTGCAATAGCTCCAACGGCAGAACTATAGACTCAATACGTCTTCCAAGCTGCTAAGCAGTTAAAACAAGAAAAAAAATAATCTTATTATGACTCAGATAAAAAGTAATTATGCTGTAACGCAACAGTAAGCATATATATTCTCCTAAGAACTTTCTACAAGTTCTATGCTTCACAGCATGAAAGAAGAGTCGTAAGACTTAAGTGGCATTACCATTCTTTTCGCAAGTGCAGAACAAATCATGTGAATCACCAAATAAACTTTGAACATTGTAAACATAAGAGATATATAGCAGGACATGCAAAAAATTCAAAGTCATAAAAGAGAGATGGTGCATGAGAAAGAAATTGAGTGTCCACTGTTCATGTCCTTTTCTGTTAGGAGGAACTAACCACAAAAAACAAATAAGCGACAAAGAACTGATATCTGCAGTTCATATGATCATTGATAAAACATATATAAGTAGCTCGGATATACAATAGCCCGGATAGATGGTAGCTCGGATAATACAGTAACTAGGACAGAGGGGGTAGACCTTCGGTTAACAAGTCGGGGGACCTGTGTGGTAATCGACCTATCGAGACTTAGTCTAAAAGAAGACTTACGGAAGCTGAGGACCTACGAATGAAAGAATAGGAAGACCTAGTGATAGGGGACATGTGTAGGGTTATTTGGTAAGAATCCAAATGATCCTACAGATAAGAATGAGTGTAGAGCAGACCTAAGGGCAGCCAACTAACCGTTGGGCAGATCCTGGGGCCATCCGGGCACGTGGGCAGGCCTGTGGGCAGCCGGGTAGGGCCAAACTTGTTTGAGAAGCTAAGAATTTGATATAAATAATATACACACTCTATGCTTTACAACACCATTATCTACACTTTATATACAGCTTTTCATAGCCCCATAGCCCTTTACTGACTTGATTATAAGTTTTACGCTGGGAACACCTCCGGGCAGTATTTTGCAGGTCTCTGAGGAGAAAATCAGTTGAAGGACCAACGGAAGACCGGTTCGAGGTGCAATAGCACATCAACCATAATTTGGACCAGAAAGAAAAAATAAAACAATTGAAGACAAAGACATCAGCGAACACAATTCCTACCTAAGCAAAGAAAATAAAATCATACCAACTGAAACAAAGTGAAAGTTAATCGTTATAATCCCACGCCATCTAATGCTTAAAAAAAACTACAGCTAATTTCTGACCTGACCCGCAGCAACTCTCAACAATCCACGCCGTACCCTAGAATCGGTCTGCTCGGAAATCCTCATCTGAACCCTCATGAGCTCCCCACCTATAACACCAATCCTCCTTCTCCCGGAATTCCCCTGACCCTCGCTCCCGGGCTCCTCCTCCTCTTCGCTCTTCTTATTCTTCGGCTTCAAACCCAGCGCTTTCTTCAGTTTGCTCTCGCATGACGACAGAGCACTGTGCATCGACGGCGACGAGGATAGCTGAGACGATCTCTCCCTTGAATTTGTCGAATTAGAGACGTACTTGAGCCGTTTCGTGGAGCCGGAGCTCCGGCATGCTCCGATGAGGATCTCATAGGCTGTCTCCCGGAGCTCCCACGGGGAAAGATCTACCCGCAACTTTCCGAAAGGCTCCATGGCTATAGCTTGATCTCGTCAATTGTTATGCATCATGAAAAAAACCAAGGCCGACAATGGTGAAAAAGAAGAACCGGAGCAAAGGAGGGAGAAGGTTCTTGCTTCGCTTTCAAGGAAAACAAATAATTTACAATTTGATGAAGGGGTCGGTCGTGACCCCTTTGGGACGAAAGAGGTTGACGAGGATGATTGAGATGGAATTGAAATCGAGGTAGAGAAAAGTAAGAGAGATTCTACTGATGGGGACACGTGAACAAGAATCCACAATAGCATTTTATTTATTTATTTATTTTAAACTGCATAATTCATTCATTAAAGGCATAATTATAATTGGCTCACTAGCCGCAATAAGAGGACTACCCAAAGTAACCTAGATAAGACAACACACACTACAAAACGAACAAGAAAAAAAAAGCTCCGCACAGGAGAATATACGAACTCCCCACAAGAAACTAACACAAACTCCCAAGAGGAGAAAACACGCTCCTCCAAAAAAGAAGATAACAAAACACTAGCCACAAAATAATACACCAACAAACACCATAAAAACACAACGCACACAAATGCACACCACGACACAACACAAAACACAAAAAACGAAACACAAATATCCAAACTAAAGCCCTTCCCCAGCAGCTAAGCCCACACGAACAACATCGACGCCAGCCCGCACAAGCAACCACCCACATCGAGTAACCAAACTAAAAATATACTAATTTTTTCTGCAGTCAATGATTCCATTTTACATTTATCAAGGCAGTTTAATCAGAGGTTACACTATAATTTATTGTAGAATTCTAGGTAATGAATCGATAGAGGATAGTATGAAAAGATTCACTCACATAAAATAGAAAATATGCTAGAAAAAATGGGTCAGACACCAATTTTACTCATCTGCTAGGGAGATCAGCAAGGAGAGCATTTTCTTTTGATTTTTTATTCAAAGAGTAGATAAAGGCTATTTTATCGGACGATATGCGATGTGTTTTTCTCTTTTATGACTGATGATGTTCTGGCTAGGACCGAAGGGGTCAAATTTATACAAAAACAGGTAAGGGTGTAATAAATGCTTAGTGCTAGCTAGGGATGTTAACATGGGATACTATACCTAAAGGAGTAAACTGGCCCACTTAACCGGTTTAACGAGTCAAGCGGACCGAGCAGGCTGGCTCGATCGAACAAATCGAGCAAGGAGGTCGTGGTCGAACACCACAAGAACAAGAGCCTTTGGATGATAAGGCAGCTCATTGGAGGTTCTGGTCGAAGATCGACCTGCCGAGCAATTGGTCATTGGATGGACCATATCACAGACTAAGAACAGTTCGAGGATCGACCTAGGTATGGTCGAGCACAAGAGCCTTCGAGAAGACTTCAGATGAATCTTTACCCCATGTGCGGGGGACACGTGGCGCGACTTGATTGGTCTTTACTAAATAACCATCTCTGACACATGCATACTGTATGTGTACAAACGGGCAGGCCGGGCAGTTTTGGGCAGCTAGCTCAACTCATCCGGGAAGCCTCTAGAAGTAGGTACCTCTCCCTTATATATAGGGGTGAGCTTTACATTTTGAACACGATTTATCCATTCTTACTTTAGAGAACTGAGTAAAGCTGATCTGACTTGCTTTAAGCATTGCAGGTAGTAGCGCCATCGGCGAAGGAGGCGCAAAGCCCTAGACAGCAGATGGTGGCACTGACCAGGGAAGAGATTGAGCGTATGATGGCCAACGCAGCGGCACAGGCGGTGCAGCAGGTAACAAACAACACTTCCTGTGCTGCGACCGCGCCGACTACGGTGGTAGGAGCACAACACAACACATAGAAGGATGTGTCCAGTTATGGAGGAGAAGGAGCTCCACGGGATTGAGAGATGGAGAGAATCGCTGAGAAATTGCGTCAACTGCAGGCCAAGGTGGATGGCCGACCAGAGGGGCGTGCTCGGGAACACCCGTTCTTGAGGGAGATATTGGCAGCACCATTGCCGGTAAATTTCAGGGAGACGAGTTTGGTATTTGATGGGTCATTCGATCTGTCGGGACATGTGAGGACGTTCGAGAACATGGCGATTCTGCACGGGTATTCAGATCCGGCTAGTTGCAGGGCATTTTTTTCGACCTTGAGGGAAGGCGCGCTCAACTGGTTTCACCAGCTTCTCCCAGGTTCGATTAATGATTTTGAAGATTTTGCCGAGAAATTGACGAATCGGTATTCGAGTGCGGGGGCCCAGGAGAAAACCTATTTGACTCTTATAGCGATGAGGCAAGGAGAGAAGGAGCCGTTGCTTGATATAATTAGACATGTTTGAAGATCCCATCAGCCTCAGACGAGGTTAAGGTAGGAGGATTGATAAGGAGCTTACGAGCGGGGCCATGTCGAACTTCTTTGGCTAAAACCGTCGTTCGTACGTATGATGTAGTGCTGAGGAGATGTAAGAAATATATCAACCTCGAGGAGATGGAGAGTTCACTAAGTTGGAGGAGATGACTCGTCCAGAAGTAAAGAAAGGGAAGGTTATCTCTTCTAGGAGAGGATCACCAAGGAGGGGATCGCTCAGGAGAGAGGGGCGTGGCAGGTAGGATCGAGGGCGCAAGGATAGGTGGAAGGATCGACCTATTGCAGGAGGCAAGAGATTTCATAATTGCACACTACTGAATGCTAAAATAGGAGAAGTGTTGGTTTCATTTAGAAGATGTTTGATGACAAAGATGTAACATGGCCAAGGTCGAGATTCGAGGGGCCGACTTAGCCAAAGTCGAGGAGATATTGTCATTTTCATAAGGATTATGGTCATACAACGGAGGACTCTTGACACCTCAAGGATGATATTAAGCGCCTTATTCGAGGCACCTCAAAGAGTTTGTTTACCATGATCGAGCAAAAAAGAAGGAAAAGAGGAGGTGTCCGGAGGATTCTGTAAAAAAGAGTGACAAAGATGATGACGAGGAGGATGATGCTCGAGAGGAGCGTGGTGGTCGTAGGGGTAACGGAGATAAAAGAGGCGTGGGAGTAGACATCGAGGAGAGCAAGGAGGTGAAGGCCCCATGAAGAGAGGTACAATTTACATGAATTTTGTCGGATCAATAGACGGAGATTCGAACAATGCGATGAAGGAGCACGTTTGAGCGGTGAAACGGAAAAGAGAGGAATTCGGTAATACCGCTCTAATGCCGGTGGTTAGTTTTCTAGTGGAGGATGCTGAGGAGATGGTGTTACCCCACAATGACGCATTGGTAATCACGGCAGAAGTAGCAGGATTTGATGTGAAGAGGGTATTCATCGATACAAGGAGTTCGGTCGATGTTATGTTCTATGCTGTTTTACACAACTTAACAAGGAGTTGAATTTGGAGTTGAAACTAGTCATAACGGCTTTATATGGCTTTAAGGGTGGAGATGTGATGACTATGGGAGAGATAAGTTTATTTGTTGCTCTAGGGCCAGGGGCGACGAGGAATGTTAGGATGGTGTGATTCGTGGTTGTGGGAGCAGAATCGTCGTACAACATCATGATGGGGAGGACTAGCTTGAATTCTTTTCAACCTGTGGTGTCGACGTACCACATGACGATAAAATATCTGGTGGGCGAAAACGTCAGCGAGATCGCGGAAGACCAGCTTACCTCGAAGAGCTGTTATCAGACGACGGTGAGCAACAACAAACAATTGGCGCGGAAACAAGCGACACCGAGTGGGGAGATGCCAGGTCGACTTAGTGGCTCAAGGTCGAAGGAGGAGAAAACAAGACTGGACAAAGGAAAGGAGAAGGTGGACATGCAGCCTGGTGGAGTAATCGAGGAGATTAAGATGATAGAGGGATATGAAGAGCGCAAATTCAGGATCGCTAAGGAGTTGGAGGAACCAATAAGATCAAGGTTGATCGCATTAGGAATTGTTGCAATGGTGATCGAACATAGATTGAATATCGACCTCAGTGTGAGGCCAGCGAAGCAAAAAAGGAGGCACCATAGAGTGGAGATGGATAGAGTGATCAAGAAGGAGGTGGAGAAATTGTTGAAGGCTGGTCATATCAAGGAAATTCAGTTCCCCGAGTGGTTATCTAACACATTGATGGTGTCGAAGTCGGAGGGCAAGTAGAGGATGTGAATTAATTTTCGAGATTTGAATAAGGTGTGCCCGAAGGACTTATACCCGTTACTGAGGATCGACCAGCTGGTCGACTCTACTGCGGGGTGTGAGCTACTTAGTCTGATGGATGCGTCACAGGGGTACCATCAAATTCCCTTGGCGCAATAGAATAGGAAACGAATGAGTTTTGTGATGAGCAGTGGAACTTATTGTTATGTGGTGATGCCATTGGAGCTGAAGAATGCAGGAGCGACATACCAAAGGTTGGTCGACAAGATCTGCAAGGAGCAGTTGGGGAGGAACATGGAAGATTATGTCGACGATATGTTGGTGAAAAGTAAGGTGGAAGCTGATCACGTGAAGGATTTGAGGGAAACATTTATAACGCTAAGGAGATTTGGGATGAGGCTTCATCCGACTAAGTGCTCGTTTGAGGTGATGTGAGGGAAGTTTTTGGGTTACTTGGTGACAAAACTGGGGATTGAGGTAAACCCCGAATAGGTTCGAGCAGTAGTGGAGATAAAACCGCCAACAAATATTAAGGAGGTTCAGGCGTTGACTGGTTGAATCGCAGGCTTGAGTAGATTTATCTCGAAGGTAGCAGAAAAAAGTGGTCCACTGTTCAAGACCCTAAATGTGACGCCCCATGTCACACCCCGCCTCACTACTAGCTTTGAAAAATCAGAGTAAAATTTTTATTTTTAATTTTCGAAAGAATGTGCGAGCTGGGTTTTCGAAAATTCTGACTTATTGCGGGATGTGGCAGATAAAAACTTAAACTGAACTCGGGCTTGCCCGCAGACATAATAAAAACATGCAACCAAACTGTCCGCTCGCGGATTATGGAATTATACATGCGTAGTCTGTACTGTCTCGCACTGTCTAGAAAACTCGCTGGCGGAAGCATCCGAAATACGAATACATAACATGCGTACATAAACTGAATAAAATACACATGATCATAAATCTAGGACATAAAAATGCTGGTAAAATATGTCCGACTCTCATGACCACGCTGC